ACTCATCCTGCATTAACGATGTTCCCTAGAACTCCTTGCAGCTTTTGGGAGTTTTCCACATCGTCTTTGGAGGTCTGTGGCCTCAGTTAGCTGTGGTATGTTTCTAGAGCTCTTACTGAGGTGCTTCTCTGGGCAAGACCAGGGTTGCCTGTTTAAGCAGGAAGCAATGAGCTTCTGTACTGATGGTACTGAAGAATGGAGTATCCTTCAAAACAGTAGATTTGATCCTGCTTCTGGTTTTGTTTCTGGTTGTTCCCTTCTCCCTTCCTCGGAGCAATTGCAATTCCTTGTTTTTCTGCTCATTCCCTGCCAGAAATGGGAATGTTCATCCCTTTCTTTCCAACTCAATCTAACCAGCAGCTTTGCTTGCTCTGTCTGCTTCTGGATTCTGCAGTAGATCTCAGTTACCCCATGACCATATATCCATTTCTGCTCTGAAGGCACAGTCAAACTAGGCGCAAGGGCAAGCTGGCAGAAGTTCAGAAAAAATAAGTATTCAGGTTGGAGGAAACACAAGAGTGCCATAGGCCAAGTTAAGCTCTGAATTTCAGCAGCTCGAAACCTGCTTGGTATAGGGAATCTGCTGTGAGTTTTCAATGCCCAAGTAATCTCTCTCTTGAATGAAGCTGATCTTAACTAGGATGAGTGGTTTTACTGTTGGTCCATCTGCTTATTTCAAAGTTTTCAGTTCTGGTAATATTTACTTTGTGTTAGCAAAATTATTGCCTGATGTACTTCTGTTATATTTTTTTACTCTGCTCTATTTACTTATGTGTTTAGCTCGATGGGTTTCACTGGTGTAACTCCTCTAGGACATACAGGATATTGCCCTCATGAAAGCCAGTCAGTCGTGGGACATACAAAGTACTACTTCTGCTTTGTAAAATATCACAGAAAAACGCCTGTTTCATACAACTCTGCCTGTTGAGACTTCCAGTGAGGACCGGGTCCTGTTTTGCTTGCCATTGTATAAATACATGATGCTAAAGCCCTTGCAAACCTGGAATTCAGCATCTGCTGAATTACTCTGATCCGTGAGCCTGATGCATTTTGTTCACAAGACGTCAGAGCAAGCAGGCTGCTGCAGGGTGTACGACAGGGCGGAGAGCAGCAGGTACTGCTCTTCAGCCAACTCCGTCCGTAGCTGCTTGAGTTGCTGCAAGAGTGCAAAATTCTGCAAGTCCTACAAAGGTAATGTTTCCGTAGGAAGCTTCCCTGAATAATTATTTCAGGGTTGAGCCCCAAAGTAACATATTCTGTTTAATGAAACAACTTTTTCTGGCTTTTTGAATTGTGTATAATATACTTCCTATGTATCGTTATTGTGGTAGGGTGTTACAGTTCTTATTAACCTGGGTCTGAAAGGATCAGGACTTAAAACTGCTATTGTGTTCCGATAGCAATGGTGAGTTTCCACTTACAGTGACATGAGGCTGAAATGGAACCTCTTAATGTTTTGGTCTTGTCTAGTGCATCTCCTTGGCCAGTCACAGAGCACTTTTCACAGGGAGTAGAACTACCATCCCTATTTTATAGGTAGAGAAATTAAGAAACAGAAAGGGAAAATGATTGCCTGACACCACTCCCATTAGAAAAGAGATCCTGCTGTGGCCCCCTTTCCCCTCTTTCCTTCCCTAGCTCTCCTCCCTTCTTCTCCCTCACTGGAGCATCACATCTTTGTTAGCTCTTGCTGCCTCCTTTTATTCTGCCTTAGGTAAACCAAATGCTCTCTAGCAAACATTAGTGTTCACCCTCACCATGGGGAGAAGACAGGTGTGTTGGTTCTCGGCTTATGCTTTTGTTTTATTAAAATAAACCAGCATCATCTTAGGCTTGTTCATCCAGTTGTGCAGTAGAGAAAGAAATATAGACTGAGGTGATACACCCTTGTAGGTGTTTCACCTTCAGTGTAACAACATTCACACAATGTGGAATAAGCTAACTTCAATTTGTATGCATTTTGAGTAGCATCCGTAATAAAAATATCGGGGCTGGGAATTCAAGGTCTTAAAAGGAGGCAGACGTGATTAATGCTTGCTATGGTTTCCTTTTTTGTCTCTTGTAGCAGAGGTTTGCTGTGGATTCTTCGTGATCCTGATCCTGGGCAAGTTCTGGTTCCTCGCTGTTCTGTACCTGCTGTGGCTCTACCTCGACTGGGAAACGCCATGCACAGGGGGCAGACGGTCCCAGTGGGTCAGAAACTGGACTGTCTGGAAGTACTTTAGGGAATACTTTCCTATTCACGTGAGTAAAAGGTTTCTCACAGAACTGTAAGCATTGGAACAGAGACAGCTTGAATAGCCATGAGTGTGGACAAATGTCTAAGACTCATCTTTGGTAAAATTCTAATACTTCCTCCAGGGTGAACTTAACTTCTTTTTAGAACATGGGAAGTCTGAGATTTAGTGACAAAAAGGGGCATGGGCTGATTTTCGACTTGGACTGTTGGGTCACAAGATAGTGCCTCAGCACAGTACATGCTAGACATGGTATCTTGAGACACATCTATTTAAACTTTGTTCAGCTGTAAAACGGGACAGTAGTTTAAAGTGCTCAGAAGGAAATCAATTGTCATCAGTTCTGTGTCATGTCAATGTGGAATCTCCATACTTGTTTTTGAGAATCCTTCTGAGGTGAGTATTAGAATATCCTCCACTGTCTCTATTTTTCAGCTTATAAAAACTTCAGATCTGAATCCAAATCACAACTACTTACTTGGCTTTCACCCTCATGGGGTCCTGGTGGCTGGAGCCTTCGGAAACTTTTGCACCGGTCTGAGTTTCAAAAATTTATTTCCTGGGCTTACTCCATATCTTCATATCATGCCCATCTGGTTCAGCTGTCCCTTCTTCAGAGAATACATAATGAGTGCTGGTAGGTAAAAGCAGAATGTCTCAGCTGTTGCTCCGTATTATAGCTTCTGCTTCACATGTAGGGTCTGTTCATGTACCTATAAATGGTGAGTAATTTCACTTCAGAAGGATCAACACTGGTGCTAAATTAAACCTCTGTTTTGTGATGAACTGTTGTTGCAAAACAATTTGAAAGGTTTTAATAATAGTTTTGTTAAACTATATCACTCAGCTTTTTTCTTTCTGAAAAAAATTGCTGTGATTTCAGATAAGCTATGCAACTGCTCCATTCGTAAAAACATGCCTAGGATGTTGTTCAGATAAATATCAGAATTGCATATCCATGTATATACTTCAACATGCTAGAGAATGCCCTTCCATGCAAATGTTATTTCTGAGGATATTCTTTCAGGCTTGTAAAGTTAAGGGATTGGCAGTCGTGGAAGATGGCAGTTTTAAACATTGCCTAGCCTGGAAGTCAGCTTTACCCGTTTTTGGCATCTTGACCCATAGGAACAAATATTTACCTGCTAGATGAGAAGCAACTTGAGTAAAAAGCATGCTAAAGAATAACCAGCATTGTAGCTCCTTTTTTACAGGTATGTAGCTGATAAACCAGAGGGGACCTTCTGTATAATGCAGGTTATCAGTCAAATAATAAAAAACTTGCAAAATCTTCCATGTACTGAGAGGCATGCTCCTAGCACGTTATTTCATTTCCTAGTCTTTTGTTCCCTGCCTCTGAGGCCTGCCATGCTGCAGCTGTCGTCATTGGGAAGAGCAGTGCCAGCATTACCGAGCCGCTGTGCGAGCGAGCGGGGAGCAGTGCCCTGCGCCCAGGCTGACATCTCTGCTTCAGCAGGGAGATAAATTTGTCCTGGGGAAGGACAGTGGCTCTTGCTTTCTCTTCCAGAGAAAATGCATGCTGACTGGTGAAGGAGCACCACTTAAATTATTTGTGTTTCGGGTCAGCTGCATTTTTTAGAGTAACAGTGACTGTGAAGACATATATGGCAAATGGAAATAGCTTTTTACTGAGGTCTCTGAACTTGCTCCAGGAACACGCAATTTCTCTTGGTGGCCAGTTCTCGAAACTACATCACGATCATCTTGCCTTTCTTGTGAGATTTTTATAATCCACGTTGTAATGTCCCTAATGGGAAAAAAAGAAAGTGGGTAACAGGAGATGAAGTATTTGCTTGGCATCCAAAAGGACGTGCTTTGATACTAGCCCTGTAAAAAACAAAACAAACAAACAAAAAACACACACAAAAAAAACCAAACCAAACAAACAAACAAAAAAAAAAACCTCAAAACCTTCCAAAAAACACCACCACAAACTAGGCTTGATCTCTAGATTGTCATTTAGACTATGTTAATTCAACACAATGTAATTAAACATGGCCTCTGGGTAAGTACTACCACTATGAGCCTTTGAAGTAAAACTTAGGGCACAAAGGAACTCTGGAGGGGTCAGATGCATATCTGTTAGAAAGGGGATTTTCCAAAGCACCAAGTTCAGGGCAAGGTCTAAGTCGATGTTAAAGGCTTGTACAGCAGTGTGCCTTTGATTGGAAGTGTTAGGATCAGGAAGGCTTCATATATTCTGCTATTTTAGCCTAAATAGATTGATGAGTGCCAGGTCCTGGTTACTAGAGAATGAGCTGATACAGTCATTGGGAATGGTACAAGCGAGGCTTTTCTGCTGCTTCTGACGCTGTTGTGCCATTGCCTTAGATGGAACTGCTGCTTTATAGCTTTGAAAAGAACGAAGGGGATCAGCTTGGCACCGTAGATCCATGTTTGAGTTAACAAGTCCTCTATTCATTCTGTTAAACCCTCTGTGCCTATGTTTATATGCACCTGCTCTGTGGCTTTAGCTGCTGCCTCTCAACAGTATCTGCTGCCATTCAACTCTCTTGTTCTTGGGCACAAAACCTCTCTGACGGGGAGTTAAGTTGGCAGAAGAGCACACTTTTCCCTCAGGATCTCACAATTCGAGTGGTAGGCAAACAGCATTTAGTTCATCAGTGTGAAATCAAAGGACTTATCTAAGACCAAATCTGTTGCAGAGTGCGGGGGTTGAACCCAAATCTTTGAACCCTGTCCTATGCTGTAATTATTTTGAAACATCGTTTAGATATTTTAAAATATTTCTTAAATTCCACTGTACTTGTACAGGAAGATCTAGTGAGTCACTCTTAAAATGTTTGCTCCTGAAGGAATGGTTTCTGCATCCAAGGAGAGCGTCTCTTACGTGCTGAATAACAAAGGAGGCGGCCACGCATCCGTTATCGTGATCGGAGGAGCAGAGGAATCTCTGAATGCACATCCTGGAAGTTTAACTTTGAACATCCTCAAGAGGAAGGGCTTTATTAAAATGGCCTTAAAACATGGGTAGGTTTTCCATCTGGGCTGCTGTAGTAAGCATGCTTTGAATACAGATTGATTCTTAAATATAGTTCATATTGTATATAGTAAACTCATATAATTGGAATTTGAAAGAGGTACTTGTCTAAGACCGTGCAGATGTCTGGCATAGGAGCCAGTCCATCCACCTAGATCTGATCTGAGAGTGTTGAAAACTCCCTTTGACTTTCATAATTTGCAAGCAGTAGGTGTTATTAGCATATCTTGGTATTTTGTTTCAGTTGTTTTTTGCACTTGCAGAGAGTAATGATTATGAAACAATATTAGTAAACCTTGGCTGTTACTGCTGAGTGGAGCAGACATTCTGTTTCCTGTTCTGTCAATTGAAGTTATATATTAAGATAGCATTTTCTTATCATTTTAAGCAAACAAACAAAATATTAGAAATCTAGGCCCTGTTTTATTAACTCACTGAAAATTGTGGTGTAGGAAGATTTGTTTTCACCTTTATTCTAAAGACTTTCTTTTGAAGATTGTTATTTGAAAAAGGACATTTCTGGGAATTTTTGGTGAAAATCTCAAGAAAAACTAGCTTACTTTTTACTATCAAACAGCCATCGGCGTGTAACTAAACAGAGACGGTATTAATACCTTTTGAGTGATTTACACAGTATAAGCTATTGTGTTTGTGCTGGACTGGTCTAGATGTCTTGTATACTAGAAATATTGGAACCACTGACTTGTTGCTGCTAAGCTTTCTGAACAGCTCCCAGAATTATATATTGACATGCGAAGTAATGAGAAACAAATATTAGTCTTGAGAAATGTGATCAGTTTTTTAAGCTATTAACTGGAAAAAAGGTGGTCTCTGAGAAGAAGAGCTCTCTTTTCACACAGAATGCTAAGGTCCATTTTTTCTAGAAACTATTCTGTGTCAAAATATTCCAAGAGGGTTTCTTATATGTATCACTAGAAGGCTCATAAAGGACCTGTTCTCCAATAGAAAGTAACATTTTAGTCTAATTTGTACCCAGAAACATCACTTGTGTATTTAAATTAGGACCTTAGTGCCTAAATGAGTCTTTACTCAATTTCTGCTCAACTGCTGATTAGTAGGATCCTAAACACTATCAGTAGCTTTTATTTTTTTAACCATGAAGCCTAGAAGAATATTTAGGTGCCTTTTTTTTGAGCATGTCCATAAATGTCTGATCTGTCAGATCAAAGGTTGGTGTTTATCTCTCATCTAAACTGATTTGGACTGAGAAACTAGATACCCCTGTGCCTCTCATGGCCTTGGTTTCAAAAGCATCCCCAAAACACAACAACAAGATCAGGACACTTAGAAAACACAGGAATGGCCACTTCTTTCCTTATGATGTTCTTCATTTCAAATGATGGTCCTCCTCTTTAAGAAAGAGCCTTAGTTGTCTAGAGCCCTTCACTCGGGTGGTAATGCCTGTCTCTGCCCAAGTGACTTGCAACCTACCCCACACACATGGTCACCTTAGCCACCAGGCTACAAGTCATTCTGGATCTGGGCACTGGCAAGAAAAACCGCTTCTACGTGAAGCATAGGAATCCTGACTTCATTTTTATACAGTAGGGTAATGGGACAGTAGGACAGCATGACTAGCCATTACAGCTCTTGCAGCACTGTTGGCGGTCCTGAGCTCTTGTCCAAAGACTCTGCATCCAGTAATTGCCTCTGGTTTTAGCGTTTTGTTTCTAACAATTAACAAAATGTGAAATAAGCTTCTGACTCACGCGGAAATGAAAGGGTGAGGGAGGCTTGCGGGAAGCAGATGAGAAGAGCCACCTGCCATCAGTGCCTGCATATGTTTCTGGTGCTTTTGATCTGCAGGATCAAATACCAAGAGAGGAAGGGGCCATGCAGAGACCAGGGGCAATGCAGAGACCTGTGCTCTCTGGCCCTGGCTCCTGTACTGCCAGCACAGAGAAGCTGTGGTTCCTCAGCTAGGAGCTTGTCAAATGTGGTCTGAATATGTCAACAGAAGTCCTCTGCACTGCTGGAAAAGACATTTTGGTCCGAGGCTGTACCTTTATCTGATACGAAGTGAAGAAATCCTAAAGATATCAAACAAATGATGAATCAGCTAACTTAGCTTTAGTTTCACAATCGTAAGTTACTTATTTCTCTGTCTCAACCTCCTACGGAGCATCTTGCAAAAGCCTTTACCAGATTAAAGCAAATCCCACAGTGTCAGGATGCTATTGCACCACAAGATGTTCCTGTTTGTCTTAGTGTTGTAGTAAAAAGTGGAGTATTTACACAGCCACAGGCTTTCCGATGTTTCCTTGACAGGTGGCTGGGTGATAACGTGCTCTATTTGAGAAAGGACCTTTGAGCAGACATCAGTCAGAATAGTGAGTGGCAATGATAGTCTTCGGGGGTCCTCAGGCTTGAGAAGCTGTAGACACAGTACTTTCCAGCCAGCTCTGTCCTCAGTGCATCCTCCTCAGGCGTTCAGAGCTCTGCACTAATTAATCCCAACAATATTATAGCAATGCTGCTATTTTACAGAAAGGTTTTTCTTAAAGATAGTGTGGGCTGAATGGAGCTAAGATATAGAAGCTAAGACTTAAGTAAAGCAAATAAAACACCTCTCTGTCCTTCAGAGATTGCTTAGGTTTACCCTGCTGTTTTTTCTTTAAACTGTGTAAAATACTATTTAATGAAACAGCATTAATCAAAAAGCATACTGCAGTCAAGGTTTTAAATATAGTGGTGTTTTTGCTGGTTAGAGACAACTGCACTGATTCCATCAGCCTAAGTAGTTTGTCCAGGAGCTGGTCAGTGCCTTTCCTCCCAAGCCAATTCATGACCTGAATGAGAATTCATTAGGCTGTGCAGGCACCAAAGTGAGTGAGTATAATTTCTGTGGGTAGAATTTGACCTCTGGTAATAATGGATTAAGGCTAGTGTTTTCAAAGAAGTCTGGAGGAAGCAGGATTTCACTGGGAATTGGACAGCAGAGGAACTTGGCATTGCAGCCAGGACTGTAAGGATGTCTGGTTTTTATCACAGTTTTTGTGCTGAAACCAAGTGCGTGCATTACTCGGGTCAAAAGGCAGAGGAAAGCCAAGATCTGTTTTTGACGCCACTCAGCTGGGAGCATTATAAGGTTAGCAGGGAGGCTTCTTTGCTTGCCAAGGGAGAAAATGCAGTGGAATGAGGGTGGACGTGCTGAAATAGTGGTGGATAAGATCATAATTATTATATATACAATTATTCATTTTTATGATTATAAACAGTCATAAAAAGTTGCGAGGGGTAGCAACCAGCTAAATACTGCCCAAAAGCTAGTTGCTAGTTATATACCAGTGACTTTTTTTTTTTTTTTAAACCCAAAAAACCCAAAGCAGCTGTGTATCAGAAGAGTTGAATGCCTGTTGCTGATGAAGTCTAGAGCTGCCAAAGCTCTCTGTGCTGGTTATTGTGAAGCTATTTCCACGCTGCTGATGTGAACTGCAGTGCAAGTGCAGGCTGATGTGGGATTCTCAGTGTGTTCATTGTTTTACAGGGCTCATCTGGTCCCAGTATTTTCCTTTGGTGAAAATGAACTATTCAAGCAAGTTGCAAACCCTAAAGGTTCATGGCTCAGAAATGTACAGGAGAAGTTGCAAAAGATAATGGGCTTTGCTTTACCGCTGTTTCATGCTAGAGGAGTATTTCAATACAGTTTTGGCTTAATACCTTACAGACAACCTATTCATACTGTTGGTAAGTTCCCTGTGCCTTTTCTAATACTTTTGCAAATGTTTAAAAATGCGTAAGTGTGCTACTAATATCTGTGTAAATTTATAGATCTGTTCTAACAGAAACAATCAGTTACTGTGCATCTAAAGCAAGTACGTGAGGTTTAAAATAATTTTTTTTTCTTTTTTTTGATTTCTATCCTCCCCCAATTAAAAGAGGGGCTTCTTTTCTCCCTTTCCCCTTTCTGTCCCAGGTCAAATCTTATTCTTCATTCGCAGTTATTCACAGGCTTCTATCCTCAGCAATCCTCAAGGAAACCCAAGGGGTTGTCCAGTCCATACCTGAGGGCTGCCACAGCTCTGCAGCTGTTGCTGTGGATTCTGGATGCTGCAGTTATTTTGTAAGATGCCCAGCACCTTCATTTCTTAGCCCTGCAGAGAAGCAGCAGTTGGGTGTTTCAGCTGATGCACAGCCACCAGAGCAAGGCTACTGGAAGGAGCTGGTGCAGTCCTGACCCAGTGCTCATCGGGACAGGGGAGACAGGGAGGAGGGAAGGGAGAGGGCCCCTTGCGGCAGCTCTGCCGCATCCCTTCAGCAGGCTGCTGCTTAGATGGTGTTGCAGCTCCCTAGGGTGTTTCCTTCCCTTTTGGTTGTTTTCCCCATGGAAAGATCCACTCATGTTTAACTGAGAGCATGCGTGCCGTGTTGACAGGCAGTTTGGAAGAGGGATTTTTCCCCAAAAGCTTTCATCCCTGGTCATCTACTCTCACTGGAGTGTAGGACTGAATGTCTTTTGATTTTCAATGGCTTTAATGCTATTCACAACCACACTTGAAAAAAGCTGTGCTGGGCATCATGCGAAGGGAATAGCTGGCTGTCTATATATTTTGGATAAACCATTTTTAGACAAGATTCTGAGCTGACTGAACTAATGAAGCCTATTTCTATGGAAAAGTAAATTGAGCTTTTCGGGTATTCCACAAGGGACATTTAAGAAGGCCCTCCCTTTAATGGAGGGATGATTTGATTTTAGTACGTACCAAATAAAAATGTTTAAGACAAAAACGTAGTGCTCTCTATGTTAAAGTTCATGCAGCTCTGTATCTTATCAGCGCACATAGTTAAATGTTTTAGAAAAGATTTAATTTTTAAAGCCCACATTGTGCACAGGTAGGCTAAAAATGTCACTTATTTTAAAGCCAAAAAGTTTTCAAAGCATCGGAATGAGAGCAACGTATTTTCTGCAGTTTTTCTTTGGGCTGATGACATTGAGACTGTTCTGAAGCTTAAAACGTCTTTCACTTCGAGGCAAATCTTCATCATTATAGTATTTATTGCAAGGACAAAGGTGGTCCATGGCTACAGCATGGGAGTGCTTCAAATCAGCAAGACCAGAGTCTTGCAACAGAATTTGTTGCATGATCTCAAGAAATCCCTTACCTTTGGTGTCTCTGTTTCCTCATGTTTGAAAACTATCACCATGTCCCTGCATTCTTGGCGGGGGCGGGTCTCGATATGGCTCAACATGGCTTTGGAAGTGTTAGCTCAGCTCTTGAAAGCTGCAGGGTCATGTTGAGCTCCACCCGAGCCAGTTAGCCGTGTTGACAACGTGGCCAGATATCGGCGAGTTTCCTCCTGGTTCAGAAGCCATGGTTCCTAAAGCAAGGAGATGCAATTCAGCAAAACCAAGGTCTGTGAAGTCTGAGTGTTTTGTGCTTGACGAGTGAAGTATTTTTGTTTTTCCTGAAAATTATTACTGCTTTTCAGAAATAGAATCAACTCAAAATATCAAATTAAGAAGGTTGCTTAAAGCTGCACAGAAAATTAGAGAGATGAGTGTAGTTTCCAATTCCACAAGAAATCTCCCCGCTTAAGAGACTGCTGCAGAACGGCTTGGGGGTTGTTTGGTGTTTCCAGTTATGCTTTTGGAAATCCTGTATTGGCTGTATATTGATTTCACGCCCCTAAGGTATTGCTCAATCCAGAGCTGGGTTCCCACCCCTAGCCACGTAAAGTCTGAATTTCAGCACCGTGTAGGGCCTGAGAGCTGTTGGCAGCTGAAGCGGTAGCAGGAAAATGCAGAATCAGCCCTTTTGGGGTTCTGATTAGACTTCCCTTCCCTTTAGTCAACACCATCCAATTTGAAGTGGCAACATCTGTGGAAAGGGATTCTCAGGTGCCTTTGTAAAAGCTGGTGAGTGCTTTTAACGCTCTGCTTTTCTACAGACTTCTTCTGTAATCTCGGTTGGGTCTATTAAGCTCCCAATGCCTCCAGTGCAAGAACAGCTGTCAAAATCTGTATTGATTGAACAACACAAGGAAGACTGAGATCATGGGGAAACTTCTCTTAGCATATTGCAGGCTTTTTAGCTGTAGCTTTTTGCAGAGGAGGAGGCTGCCCTCTGGGCTTCCGTGGAATTACCTCCCATGCTCCCTCTTGCTCTCGCTCCAACAGAGCAGGTAACAGGCTTTGCACAGCGCCTGGAGAACATTTCGCTTGGAATGATATCTGTGGGCAATGGACGGTTCAGAGACACCTTACAGGATTTGGGGGTTTTGCATGCTACCACTCCCTAGGCTGAAGTAGCCAAGAACATTTCTGGTGTTGGTGCAGCGATACCCGTTTTGAATAAATTGGAAGCTATCTGTATTTCTTTCAGTCCTGTTCATGTAGCTGTGTGGTTGAGGGCACCACTGTCCTCTTAGGCATGTCCCTCACATTGGATGCCTTTACTATTCAGATCAGAACAGAAGATGCTGAGAAGGTACATTTTTTTAAATGCTATTTTGAACTTGTGGAGTACTACTGTGATAGCAAGACAGCACATAGCTCGTAGGATTGTATGTTGAAATGTAAACTGCTCCTTCAAGTTAGAGCTTAACCCCCTTCTCATTTGCTCTTGCTGCCACACTGAAATGATGGAGGTTTTAAATTCATTTTATCAGCACTTGAGCAAAAGGAAGTGGAGAACCAGAGCCAGGGCTCGGGTTTTTGAAAGGCAGGATCAGGCCTCAGGGCAAGAGAATTGTGCTGTGATTCTGCCACCTCGCTGGGAGCTGTGGTGGAGCTCTTACAGGAGGGAGGGCAGTTCTACTTAGAAAGAGATGTCAGTGAAGCTAATGCTGCTCTTGTGTTTGATTTACAGTGGGAAGCCCCATCCCTGTAAAACAGAACTTGAACCCCACCACTGAAGAGATTGAACAGCTACATGCATTGTATCTACAGAAACTAAGAAAATTATTTGAAGAACACAAAAGAAATTATGGGATCCCTGAGCATAAGTCTCTCATCTTCGAGTAGCAAATTACAATTTGTAACTCCAAATCTCGTGGAAAAAAACAGTGTATGCTGAAAGATGTCTTTCTTGCAATCTGTATTTCGCAATCTGTAATTATCCTTGTGTAAGGAATAATTTTAAGAAGGGATTATTAGATGATTTATTGATTTTTATCTTACTGTTGGGGAAAAAAAGTATCCTTAGGATGTGATCCTCGAAGCCAGTGCTGTTTTGGGTTGTCCTTTTAGGTTCATCTGTACCAGAAATGCTAGTGAGAGACTCCACACAGATGTTCTTACCACTGTGGTACTGAATCATAGCTTGAGCAGAGGAAATTGTCCCAGCACAAGATCACAAGCAGGAAAAGTATAAACCCGAGAAGTCTTTGATTAAAAGTTGAGAGACTTACCAACATGTATCAAACATGGCTTCAGGTTGTTCTCTGAAGATCAGAAAATGCTGCTGCTCTTCCATAGAAATGAAGGTGTATGTTTTCAGCAGATGGCTATTATAAGCCATTTACATGTGAATTTAAGAATAAATAGGAGCTTTCTGCCCTGAACAGGGTATCGGCAAAAGTGGCTTGTCCAAGTTATGGAGCAGAGCAAACCCTCTGTTTGGAGGAGAAGAGTGTGTTGAGTTTTCTGTGTGCACCTATATGCGGGGTGGTGGGAAGCACTGAATGATGTGACTTTCTTGGACCAGCTGTGCTTTGGATCATCAGTTTGGAAGATGAAGCAGCTTTGTTTGGTAGTTCCAGCCTCAAGAGGAGATTGCGGGCACAGGACGGGAGACGAGTACCGAGGAAGTTAGTGAACTTTGCATCTTGTGCAAACTAAAAATTATCATATGCCAAGCACTTCCACAGACGGAAGGGGAGCTCAGTTTGTTCAGTCTAGTTCTGAAACTTCACCAAGGAAAGCGTACTTGATACATGCCTTTTTCTTGCCTGCTGATAGATGTGGGGAAGTATGTGGAAAGCTGTGCTGCAGCGTGACACAGCTGTAATTGCCAAGGCAGTGTGAGGACAGCTCTAGAGTGCAGCAGGTTAAGAGGATGCTTTGTATACAAAACAGGTGCCTAAATTTTGAGAGGAGGTTTATCCTAAATGTGGATATCCATTTAAGAAAAGAAAAAAAATCTTAGCCAAACTCTTTTTTAGTGAAAATGCCTAGGTGTTAGAGATGATGGTATGTGAAGAGAATTATAGTATATTATTGAATTTTTTATGAAATAAATCCTTGTATTTGTAAATGCTTTCTATCTGCACATGGACTTTGCAGGTCTGGTTTTATTGAAGTGTTTGGTTTGCTTTAAGCAGTTTTGGTGCCTGAATATGGCATCAGTTAGCTGCTCTGACAGGACATGCACAGGCTTGTCAGGCAGCCTGGGGCATCTGCAGCTGGGTCCGTTCAGCACTGGGGTGCTCCAGCAATAGCAGCACTGGCTCCACAAAGGCACTGGACACATGGTGTACTTGCTGGCTGGAGTCTCCTTAGAAGAAATGCAGTTGGGACTTTGAGAAAAAGTTAAAACTCTGGAAAGATCTTAGCAAGATGAAGGTGTTTAAAGAAAAGAGTGGAAATATCTCGACTCCTGTGGAGTGGACTCCTAATGAACCAAAGCCGAATAACTATTTGCTGGACAGAGTGGATGTATGTTGATCCAATGTGCTCCAAAAAAACCTCCAGCAACAAGTTGGTTTCCTTAGGAGGGCTGTTCCTTCTAGTGCCTATCTGTCATTCAGATATGACCAGCACTGAGCCAGTGAATTCTGCTCTTGCTTTCTCTAGGACAACAGATGTCTTTCTGGGAGCCAGGGCTGGAAGTCACGATGCCTGAAGAAGTAGCCCCCTCTTCCCTGGCAGACTGCTGTCAGTGTGCCCACAATTCACCTCTATTGTACTTGAGCTTTCTTGGTGCCATGTGTGCTTGCCCCCCCTTCCCATGCTTTTGCTGCCTGATGATCACTGTGGTGTAGACATCTTACTTCCTCACTCTCTGTCCCTCTTCCCCTGGGTTAAGATCTTGAAAGGACTGTGTATGCGTACAAAATATTGAGTGGTGGCTTATCATTCAGCAGAAATGGGTTTTAGGAGCAGGGCTTGAGAAGAGGAAGCACTGTGACTGTGCATGTTTAACACGAGCTTAAGATCAGCGTTGTTTCAGCTCTTGGACGGGCATGTGTCTAGGGAGGTCAAACATAGCAGGTTTGATACTTGGGAAGAGGTCTCTAGGGTCCTGGGGATTGTAGTAAGTGATGAGCCCTGAGTGGTCATTTTTGCTTAGCCAGCTGTGTGAAATTTCCTTTGGATTTGCTTTTTTTTGCTGCCTGCCCTGATGACTAGTGCTGATTATTCATAAAGAAGAATTTGGAGTCTGTGTCAGACTGTTCTCTCCTAGATCACCTGCTCTAATGAGATATTTCCTCTCATTCTCAGTCTGCTTTTTTTCCCATTACCTTAATGATATAGAAGCTCAGGATGTAAACTTAAAAGCATTAGTATTGAGTTGAGGATGGGAAGTAACAATGGACTGTTGTTGATCAAAGTAGCCAAAACTTCTAGGGAATATGTGGATACCGATTTTGGGGCAATATCTGGTCCAGAGGGCACCCTACAAACAGGCTTACCTCTAAATTCCACGAGAAAATTATTTGTGGGCTCGATACCATCCACAACTGGCACATTTAGAACAAGTAGGGATAGTGTTACTCTGACTACTGAAATTTTCATTGCTTTGTAACACAGGAAGATGGAGGAAAAAAAGAAAACAAGATCCCCAGGCTACTAAAATATACATTATTGCTCAATAACTGCTGCATATTGCTTGTGACGGTCCTTCCAAACTACCTTTTATTAACAAATTGTCTAGTGTATCTAGGACTATTTTAAAATAGTCCTATCAGTCTCTAAACCTGATAGGCATGGTGTGATCTAATATATTTACCTCTGTGTTAGTATGTGGATTTGTAAAACTGCCCTGCAATACTGAGCTTAAAGGCCAGAGCCCTGGAAGCTGTAGACGCATTGTGGCTAGTGCAGGCAGCAATCCTACCATTGCTGCAGCCGCGGGGAGGCTTCCCATGTTTGTTAGAGCAAGCAGCAACGCAGTCTTCGGTTGCAGTTCGTGCTTGACGTGCAAGAGCAAGCCGCTAGTAGGAATGGTGATGCCCCCTTCCCCCAGCTGTGATTAGAAGAATCAGGTAGTGCTCAGATTTCTGGTGGGATGTCCACACTTACTGGGGCCTGCTTGGTGGCGTGTTTCTCTTTGTGCCTTTTAATGACACAGGTAGTCCCAGGGAAGCTAGTCATCTATCAACAAGATGGACACTGCCTCCATACCATGCAAACACTGCCTCCCCAGTGTGCTCAAGATGATGGTGCCTGCCTGTTCCCTTGTGGGTGAACATCTCTCTGCCAAATTTTGTTTACAGAAAGTCAAGCCTCAAGAATTTTTACTTTGTGAACTACAAAGCATATTTTACACTTTGTAACTTTTTATGGTACCTGTAAAATATGAATGTCGGTTGTTTCAATGATTGCTGTGGCAAGGAGGTGTGAGATAATAAAGGTTTGTACCAAAGTGTGCTTGCATTGACTGGAATTCAAATATGCATCCCTGCTGTTGGGTAAGGCCTTCATCCCTCGGACCTTAGGGGCCTGACTGAACTCAAGAGGTCATCTTAGACTAGCTGTAAGGCTGTGGTCATAACATGCTGAGAAGTCAGGGGGGCGGGGAAGGTGGATATATTTCTCATTGCAGTCTCCTGAGGGATCAGCAGAAGCCAGGTTCCTGCTGGCAGTCCCAAAGGGTCTGAGGAAGAGGTGATCCATGGCAGGGAAGGGCTGGGCTGCAGCAGCCCACAACCAGGAACGCAGTGCCAAGGGGCACAGCAGGGAACCCAGAGGAGCGCAGCAGGGTGGGCCATGACTCTGAGGAACTGGTGAAATAAGAGCTTTTGGAGTTGAATTCAACTTAAGTCTAAGGATATGTTTGAATTTTAAGTGAAACTTGCATCAAGGAGTCCAAGTCTTAGTATCTGTACCCTAGAAAAAAGAACAAACCCTGCAGAGGCTCTGCTTAACTCTAGGAACTGGGGAACTAAATAGCTGTTGGAGTAAAAAAGTGTTGCATTTGTCTGTTGGGAAGAGGAAAACCATCCACCTTAAAACAGTGATGTTTTTTAAAAGTATGGCAATGTTTATACTAACAGCTGCAGTGGCAAGTATGAATTCCCAAGCCTGGGAAAGGCCAATTGTGTTTTGTTACTGTTTTAATACTTTATTTATGGAACAATCCCACCTTGCATCTCAGTATACTATAAAGGGGAAAAATGGATAAAAAGTAAAGTGGCCTTGGATTGCTTTGAAGTAGTCTCATTAAACCCACGTGTGTGTAAATGGGAGGTGTGTCATGGTTTATCAATGGATCAGCATCACATCCTGTTTTTCCTGAAATACTAAAAAGAAGCAAGTTACACCTGTAAAGCAAGAGATGGAGAAAAATGAGGAATGGAGAGCAACTGAATCTTCGCGCTTCTCAAAGTGCCGCAGCAACACTAATCGTGATCACGACTGCTTGTGATAGGTAAGTGATGTTACCTCTGTAGCCAAGTAGTTGACTCTGAAGGGAATCGGGTGGACTGAAGGTTGTAGACGGTTTTTCAGATGATGTTTCTTAAGGTTGGTATCAGTTTCATGTCAGCTGAACTCCTGGAGCCCTGCCTGTATTGCAGACCCCATTGGTCCCTTGTCTTTTCTCAGTTTAACAGACAGAATAGAGCTGTAGAAAAGGAAGAGAAGAGAAGAAGGAGGAGATTCATTCACTTAATGTATTCAGATGCTGGAGAAATACATCCATCTAAAAAAGTAACTAAAAGAAGGTGAGGAACCATATCCTTTATGGTTTGCCTTCCATACCCTAACAATGTTTCACAAATAGCAGAAGCTTGGGAAGAGCCTTTTGCAGTGCATAGAGGAAGAGATTCCCTTAAAGCATGCTGGGATCAAGAAATACTTGTTGCCTTTGTACACTCGGTTTGGCCAACATCTAACCTGGGTC